CACCGCTGTCGCAGAGGATTTCTGATACTCCCTATTTATTTCTGGGAAAAAAATTCTTTGGAAAAAAATTTTAAAATAGGGAGCTCTTTACTAGCTATGCCGGGGCAGTGGGATGTGAGCAGAAATCATGAAGACAAAGTGTTTTCTCTCCATAAATATCACTGTGGATTTGCATATTCCCTGGTAATTATTGCAGGGAGATATAGCTCAAATAATTTTGTGATAAAATAAATAGGAAAATTATTCATCAAAATGAGGCATGAGGAAGCATAGATCTTACAGTTACGATATGGTCAGGGCTTATATTGGGGAAACATAGTGGAGTGGACGTTTCCTATCAATATGCTATGTAAATAAGGGAGTCTGACCAATTCTCATCCAGGTAAGACTCAAACTGTCTGTACTGTGGATTTTCCAAAGCGCTGGGCAGGTGATACTTGTTTTTCTGGTTGGTCGTTATAACTAAACTTGTCCAGGCTTTTGTTGAGCAAAGAGAATTTCTGGGTTGTTTTGTGCTGCAGTTTTCACACTTGGTCTTAGCCTAAAGGTGGAGAAGCGATGTGCTGTAGTTTTTAGAAACTCATCTGTCACAACTGCTCCTTTTCCATTCAAAAGGAGACACCCGATGGACAGCAGATCAGTCCCACGATGTGTCGTGCTGCATGCTGTAGGGAAAATGCTGTGGCCGGCCGAGTGGTGGGAGCCTGGGGTTGGACTCCGTGCTCTATCACTTACAAGCAGTAGGATCTGGGGCAAGTGTTACTAAGAAGGGGTCATTGTAAGGATTACATGAAATCATGTCTATATGTTAGGGTAAAGGCCAAGTTTTGAAACAAAGAGACCCTCAGATACAGTAGCTTAGATAAAGGCAGCTCATTTCTCTCATCTGAGCTGTCAGGGGACTATTCCATGGGGCTGTCCCAGGACCTGGGCGTCTTTATACACTGCTTCATCTACCTGTTTTCAGTCCACACTGGGAGTCCAGCCAGGAAGGGCAAGAGGCAAAGACGGGGAAGGTCGCTTGTCTCCACAGCCTGAGGAGACAGAGGGGTTGTGCCAACCTTTTCTGCTCTCACTCTGTTGCCACAAGCCCCTTCTCGCTCCTGTGACCACACCTGGTTGCAAGGAAGACAGAAACATCATCTGTGTGTCCAAGGCAAAACAGGAGGGTGGATTTCTGGGAAGCCTCTAACAATCTATCATCATATATAGCACATTGCTTAAAATAGATGTTGTTATTTTCATGAATTATCTTTAGTGTGTGTTCTTTGAATACATTTCCTTGGCTGGAACATTGCCTGGGACATAAATAGATGCTCAATATTTTTCAAGTGAGAAATAGAGGAGATAGGAACAAGTTGTTTTCTCTTCTTAAGATTTTTTATGGATATCTCAAGAACAATTCACTCTTCTCTCTTTTGTCAGGTAGTAGAGGTTTCTGTGAAGAGGATACTTAGCAGGATAAATACACGCAGCTTTCCTGTATAACCTCATCTGCCATAAACTGTCTCCATGTGCTGTCTCCAAACACAGATGCTTGGAAAAGCAGGGTTTCCTCTTCTTTCCCTTCTTTTTCTTTCTCTTCTTCCTCCTCCTCCTCTTTCTCCTCCCTCCTCCCCCCCTCCCCCCTTCCTCCTCCTCCTCCTCCTTCTTCTTCTGTACTGCTGATTGAACCCAGGGCTTCCACACTATGCTACATCCCCAGGTCCCTCCTTCCCGTTTTGGGGGATGGGCTCTTGTTCAGTTGCTAAGTTGCTCAAGGTTGGTTTAAGTTTGCAGTCCTCCCATGTCAGCTTCCCAGAGTGCATTACAGACATGTACCACCATGCCTGGCTTGGAGAAGCAATAGTTTTGGGGTGCTGAGGATAAAACCCAGGGCCTTATGCATGCTAGCCAAACTCTTCCCCTGAGCTAGACACTGCCCCATGGAGAAGCAGTTTTGAATATATAAATATTTCTCCTTCAAAACGTAAGGATGAATTGGTCTAAGATGTTTGGCAGGCTATGAATTCTCTCCTGTGTTAAAAATAAATACTGAAATGAACTTTCATATATTCATTTTTAACACATATAGATGTCTGGAATTGGCTCTTGCCTCCCATTGTCTCCTCATTCTAGCAGACTTCAAAGGAATGAGCAGATTTTCCCTAGAAGGAAGACACAAGAGAAGTCCTTCCTGAAGTTTTGGGCCAGTCCATGTTGACTGGCCATTTTGAAATCATAGACTCACCTCCCATTAACAGCCAGTTATCTTACGATCCTCAACACTGCTGTCCAGTCCAACCTTGGGACAGTTCCTGGAAGGTCTCCAACCTCTAATAAAGGTCTCCAGGCTGTACTGGAGATGGCTTTGATTGTTAGATATTCATTTGTTCACATTACATTAACCTCTCTTCCATCGCAGTATCTACACATTTTACCTATTTCTGTTTCCTGGAGCCACCTTTCACGGGTAGCTCTTTCTGTAGGTGGTGGGCAGCCATACTGAGCAATATAAGCAACTTATACTAACAGAGCAGTGCTATTTTCACTGCCCAGCACTTTGGGTTAACAACATGCGAATGGAAGGAGCTGACTGCAGTCACACCTGCTTCAGAGTCAAAGGACTGGGTGGCTGGGGAGTGTTGCCATGATGGTTTGCAGGAGTCCAAACTGGCTCTGTTGCATGGTTTCAGAGAACAAATACCAAAGGTCTGACATAGAGCTCCAGGGCAGGAGAGGTATGGACTGCAGAGGGCAACAGGAAGGGACTGGATATGCGGCCCTGTGGGAGGCAGAAGAGGCCCAGTGGTGGAGAGTCTGGGGGACTTTCATTCCTCTGCTGACATGGTGAGAAGTCCTGACCCAGGTACAGCCCACTGTGCAAGGCTTTGTCTTCAGAGAGGAAGCTGCACAAGACCACCAAGAATTGGAGCTGCCAATGGATGAGTGGGTAACTGTCCAGCTGAAGAGCAAAGACACTAATCATGTGGCCACATGTCTTACATCCCTCCTTGGCTCTTTCTAGCTAACAGGGTCTAAGGAGAGTCAAAGGCCTGACCCTGTGTCCAAGGGAGTCCTGATGGAAGTGCCCCAAACCTCCTGGGGAAGCCTTAAGTCTGATCTGTGCTGGCATCAGCTGAGGAATGGAGTGTGGTGGGCCTGGCCCTGGCTAGCTCAGGCATTTCTAACTCACTGCAGGGACACTCAGCAATTAGTCTAATTACAGACTCCTTTGTCCCTCTCCTAGCAACACGCAAAGCTTTTCTACAAACGATACCGCAATCACAGCCTGACACCAGTCACTGAGTTACTAATTCCTAACTTAACATAAAACAAATGCCTTTGTGAAATGGCTAAAGAATTGCAAGAATATTTATTTTGAGTGACTAAACTATACACTTCCTGTTCAGTGTTAAGGAAAATTGGTCTTTATTATTCCAGGGAAATGTCAAGATCACTAAGCATTATTGCATTTTGACCTGTGTTATGTTGAAACAAAGTCTCCACGTGTTTCTCATAAAAATACACATCAGAGATGGCTTCAAACCGAATGTCAAACTTAGTTAAAGGTACAAACCTCCTTGGAGTTATTTTGAATATCAAATATAACAATCAAATGCATATCAGCAAGGGCCATGTTTCTTTCCAGGGCTGTCTCACATCATTGGACTTAGTGACTTCCTGGATATTAGCCTAAGTGACAAAGCTACCTGCCTCAGCTCTCCTCAGCACGAACCCTGGCAGCTACCAGGCTGGGCTTTGGAGAAACTGTCCATGATTCCTACAAATATAGATAACTAACCACTTTAATAAAATGTCTTATAAAAATCTACATTCTTCACCTTGCTTGACCTTGTGAGTATATGTATCACTTCTCTGCATGTAAATTATAGTCCATTTAAATGTGAATTATGTTTTCGAAGTTCATGTAGTCTTAGCAGAACAATTTTAAAAGTTGACAGGGAAATAGGTTTCATAGGTCACTACTTAGTTGCTTAAAAAGTTCCATGACCTACTAGTTCAGTCCTTCAGCTCAGTGTTCTGACTTTGACTCCTTGGTCTTTTTGTAGGATCCTAAGAAAATTTGGAGCCTGCTTACTGAAGTGCTAATTTCTCTTGCTTGTCTTGACCCAGGGTTAGGATGGGAAGAATGGATCCCCAAGGCCCTACAAGGATGGGCTTCTGTTTCATAAGCATTAAGTGTTCGATGACTCCTGCAATTTTCTTTTTTAAATAAAAATTTTATATATTCCCAAAATGGATTCTATGGTGATTTTATTGGTTTACACTTCTCCAAAGATTTCATGGTACTGAAAGAGGCTACTTCCTAAAACATGGGTATCCTACTTTTTAAACTACTGAGCACATTAAGGCTTTGATGTTTCTGTTTTTGATAAACATCTGTATATTTCATGATGTACTGTGGCCTGATTTTCTCAAGTATCTGTTCCTTTTGAAGCAAATCTGAAATGTCATGATGGTCTTGAGACAGAATGGCGTGGTATTTAAAAGCGCTGATCCTGGAGTCAAACTGCCTGGGTTCGAATCCCTGCTCCTGGGCAGGGGGCGGAGTTCTTCCTTGGCATTCATGAAGCCCTGCCCTGGGTTTGATCTCCTGTGACACAAAAACCAAAATACTGAAAAACATACCCCTGCTCTTTCCCTTGCTAGCATATTAGTAAGAAGTGGATAATATCTCATGAAGCTGTTTTGAGAATCAAGTGAATTAAAAGTTATGAGGATATCATCTGGTTGATAAAAAGTTAGAAACCATTAAGACTCTTCTTCCAATTGGTTACAATAGTAAATGACAAAACGCTTCCTTTTGTGAATGGCACCGAGGCTCAGACTGTGTTTAATGCTTTGGGCATCCAGTAAAGGATGACAGACTGCCCTAGAGAATGTCTATAGAGGAGACAGTATCTACGCTTAGGAAGTTCTTTTGATTTCATTCCTGGTTAAATATTTAACTTCTTAGAACTTTTGGTAGTAAAAGAAGGACAAAAGACTTTTAAAAATTATCAGGCTGGGCATATCAATATTTATTGAAATACTGAAAAAAAAATCCATTTTGTTGAGAAATTCCTGGCAAGAACTGACATGACAATATGTATTTCACTGATACAGTAAGAAAATGTCAATGTGTAACTCTGACTTTACACTCTAAACATCGTAATACAAATATCCAGACATGGCAGATTGTCTGTTAACAAACACAGACCAACTATCGTAAACCAAGCTAAGCCAAAAACCTTAATATTTGAGTCTGCTTAGACTAAATCCTGTGATTGATAAGGCAGTTGGCTAAGTCAATGTCTGGTTACAAACTGGTTAACAATTCACATCAGAACACTTCACTGGCCAATCTCGGAAGGGCCACAGGCTGCTGTTGCACTGTCTTGCTTACCAATGTCTGCCCTTGGTTTCACCAGTAGTATGAAAGTGGCTGTGTTGCCGACTTGCAAACCACTCTCGGGGTACAAAGCCACCTGGTGAACAACACCAATATCTGACATTTTTCAGGTTTAATTTCAGTGAGGAGCACTGTACATGTAAAGTAATAAAAAACAGATTTTATGAATCCACACATCTGGCACTTTTGCAATACTAAAGACCATCCCAATAACTATTCTTCTAATCTCCAAATCACTCCCCAGTGCGACACACACGTGATGGAGCTCGTTCACTAGCCATTGACTGTACCACTCCTCTCCACCTGCCATTAGCCAGCTTGGTCTTTAACTAAGGGATGTAATGCTGCTGCCATTCCCTTTAATGCTTCGGATCTGAGCTCTGATAGGTGATTTTTCATCGCCCTTTGAACCATGAAGACAACACAGGTGACTGAAACCCGGGGATAAGTCGATACCCAGTTTGGCTAGGGTGTACCCTTCAGGTGGACAAGTGGAGGTGATTAACAAGAATAATAAAATAATCTTTGTACACACTGAAGTAATAACTAATATCTTTGGTATACAACTTACAATGCTTGAAAAAAAAAAACCAGGTAAGACTCCACCTTGTTAAATTTACTTGAAAACAGAGAAAGCTATAGGTCACATAATTTACAATCAATATTAAATAAGCTATAGTAAGAATTATAATTATGAAGATTTACAGACATTTAATTAAGTGGATGATTTTAATTCGTTAAGACCCTTCTATGTCCCTGAACTATGTTCCACTAACTTGAAGACATGCTACAGTAAACACATATATTTGGTTTCTTCAGTCTTGGCTATCTCTTATACAAAGGTGAAACCAAGGTACAATAAATTAGCATCATAATTGTCTACAGTTGAAACGATGATATACAATATAAATAAACTATTCAAAAGCCAGAAACATTAATGAAAAAAATTAAGGGACTAGGAGATACTTTTAGTTTTTACAGTTTTTACAAGTGATTGTGCGGCCGATAATCTCAAAAAATTAAAGTCTAAATGAGATTCCTGTTTTTGATTTTAGTGTCTCACGACATACAATAATTAAGTACTGTTAAAAATAATTACCAATCAGAAAAATAACATTAAAGAAATAACTGCTTTTGCTATTTTGTAATATCACAGTCCCACCCCCCTCCCAGGACCTAAAGAATGTAAACACTATATTTTTATTTGACTTTAAAGTATTAATACTTTATTTCAAACAAACGTTGATCTATATCTGCAGAGCTACCTTTTAGAATCATGACATAAGGCAAGACTTTCATACCTGTGGCATTACATGTTAATAATACTGACAGTGTTGTTCGGAGAGTTTGTTTGCAATTCGTGGTCCTCTGATATTTGTTCTACAGCAGACTTTGGCCTATGACTTAAAGGATCAGTATCACTCTCTTCTTTTCCCCTTTGGGAAAGATTTGAATTACTTTGATATCTTTCCAGGCTGTATGTGAAAAACCAGTTTCCATCCCAAGTTTAGGAGATACTCATTTGCAACTAGAATGAACTTTGAGTCAGTTTATCAGTTCATCCTTTTTTTTTTCATTTTGCATAGCTTACATGCTTCACTTTTTGTGTTCAACGACTTAAATCTGTGACTATTTGATATCCCAGCAAAAGATGTTTAATGTCTTGTTTTTAAATAAATACAAACTTTTGACGATTAAAAAGACAGACATGTCCTAGTAAGCCTTTTGGTCAGACATTCTTAGGAAATTCAACAATGCCAAAACCACACTTCACCAACAATAGCAGAGATAAGATCTAACTTGCTTTAATTATGGAGCATCTGCTTTGAAAATTGGTAGTCATATCCCTTAATATTAATTAACGCTTATATATGATAAAAGAGGGATACTGCCCTTTTTCCAGTCATGAACATGTGACAAAACAAACCAGAACATATTTAAAATGGCAAGCTGACATATTTATAGACTGTTCTTATTAGCTGTTTGCAGGTCTACAACACAGACATTCAGAATTCATGATTTAGTGGAGCTACTACCAGGCATGTCTGACCACAGGTCCTTAGTACAGATTTGGTGGTCACAGGCCGGAAGGTGTGGGGGCCTTCAGAGGAAGAGGGAGGAGTTGCTGGGGTACAGCTGACGCATTCTGCAGAAGTGTTTCAGTCTAGCTTCACCATGGAGGAATTCGGTAAATGCAAACCCTCCACTGAACAAGCCTAATTAATAATGCAGATTAGTTCCTAAATTTCTTCACAGCGGAGATCAGCTTAAATATACAAGAATTGTTCTGTCCATTTTTATTCTGACACAGTGTTGGAATCCATCTGTGAGTTCAATCCACTCCATTACAATGTCTTTCATATGCACCCTTTGGGGATGTGAAGCCTTTGATTCACAGTTTGCAATACAAATACCCTGATACATCATTTATTTGTTATTAAGTATTTGATTATTATGCTTTTTAAAATTCAATATCTTTAAACCAAGTTTTTAATTAGTGTTGCTTGGAGCAGTTCAGAGTATTTTTTTCCTCTTCCTGTTCTTCTTCCCCCTCCCGCCCCAATCTCTTTTTGTTGGGAAAGCAGCGCTCCTAAGGTTGTAACTTACGCTCTTTTTGCATGCAACATTTCGATGAGAAGGTTATTATAGGGGACATCTCCGTTCAGGTGCTTGTAGTAGAGGTATTCTTCAGCCTGCATGCTAATCGCCCGGATTTCTGGTAGTCCACATAGTAGCTGCCCAAATTTCTCTGCTTGCTGCGGGTAGTTGCAAAGAGTGTAGTCCAGCAGGGCTGAGTTGACTTGCTCCTGGACACCTTCAACCAGCTGGAAGTTCTCAAGGTTTTTGACATCTGCATTTAAAAAACAAACATAGCAACAACATTTCAATGGCATTTTAATTCCTGTTTACTAGAGTAACGTGCTCATTTAGTGGGTGCATTTTCCTTTTGACATAAAGCACACTTTATATGCTGCTGAATGCTTAGTAAGCCCCACTCACTGAGCTTCCTGGGAAAATGATCACAAAGAGCTTTACAAGAATGTCTTGTTGAAATTCTGCATATACCTCAAATCAATTAGACACTGACGGATTTTGAGCAAGGTCAATTCTTTTCCTATCTTACAAAAGGAAAGGTTTGAGGATTCCTAAAGTAGAGGGATCATAATATATTGCCAGCAAATGAGTCCCTAGAGAAAGACCTATCTTAACCCAGTATATTACACAATTCATATAATTCTGTATTAATTTTTCTGACCCAAGGTGAAATCTGTGTCCAGGGTATGATGTAGTTAATTCTAATAAAAAGTGACAGGGTTCTTGTTTCTGTTTGACATTTTCTAAATGATTCTGAAAGCCTTTGACTTGTCTTGCCTATGCTAATGAACCATCTGGTACACTCCAGTGACTGCCAACAGAATAGTTGCTACTAGGAACTCTCTAAAATATATATCTTGGTGACTAATGATCTTTATCAAATGAAATCCTTGTCCTTTAGGCAGAATACAAGCCAGGATGGTTGGTGCCCTTTAACCCGAATGTGGTTTCTAAAGTCTGATTTTTTCCTTTTTTCTTCTGGTCCTGGGCCACTTGTAAGGAGAAGTGAGACACAGGCAATTCACTCTGCCTAACTCCTGGTGATCATCCAGTTGTTTCAGGACATCTGCCCCAGAGGTGCTTATAAATAATGAATAAGAGAGAAACACCGACTAAAAAGACAGAACGACACGCAAATATACACATGGATAATGGGCAAGAGAAAATGAAATGTTGGCATCTTTCTCTGGAGTTTATGTTAACTGTACAACTTTTGATACAATATGTATATAGAAGCCTCTGGAAAAAAATACAGATGTGTGTGCGTGTTTACATAAATCTCTGAACAGAAAGTAAATAGATGCAGTCTCCCTCACTTTTAATTTCCTATTTGGACAAAGTAAACAAGGAAGATTCTGAAGAAAATAACATAACATTATGAGTTAAAGGTTACATGCATTACAAAATTAATGGTCACCATCGTAAGTCATATCCAATATTCTGGGCACCTTATACCATGCATAGCTAAACGGATCCACAGTAAGTTTGACTTACATTTGTTGTTCAAATGTGTTCTAGATAATTTCAGAGCTTGCATTTAGGCCACATACTGCATTAAACATTCTTCTTTCTATCCCCAAGTCTCTGACCCAAATTCAGAACAGCAAATTTACAGAGAAATACATAGGGAGTGTGAGACTTGGATCCCACATCTATTCCAAAGTGATATGGGAGACACAAAAATATTGGATGACCTATTAATGAGTTTACAGACAAATGCTATACTGTCAGGAACTCTCCATCTTTTTGTGGTGTTTGAATTGACAGCCAACCTGTATTCATTTGACATTTTCTATAGGTAGCACCTCATAGTTTATAAAGCATTTTTTATCTTCTATATATCAAAGTTAAAAATGATTTCTTAAATGAATTAATTAGCTTATTTTTGAGACAAGGTCTTGCTATGTAGTTCAGGCTGGACTTGAACTCACTATTAGCCCAAGCTAGCCTCGAATTCAAGGTGATACTCTTCTCTCAGCCTCCTGAGTGCTGAAATTACAAGTGTACACCACCATCCCATCACTAAAAGTGGTTTAAAAATGTGTAAATATGGATATGGCTCTACAGATATCCTTGGTCCAAACTTGTAAGATGTAAACATTCAAAATACCTTCAATATGTTGTACCTAGGTCCAAAGAAAAAAATTGATGTGTTGTTATAGTGATTTACAAACAACTATAAAAATTTGAAAGAGAGCCAGGCATGGTGGCTCACACCTGTAATCCCAGCACTTGGGAGGCTGAGGCAGGAGGATCATTGCAAGTTCGAAACCAGCCTAAGCTACAAAGTGAGCCCACGACCAGCCTGAATTGCACAGCGAGACCCTGTCTCAAAAAGACAAAAAGAAAGAAAGAGTATTATTTTATGCCCCAGTGAAAGGGTTTCACAAGAAGAAAAATAAATCATAGTCATACAGATTAATAAGAGGACATAAGAATTTGGACAGTAATATAAGAAAAATGAATAATAGCTTTTTAGAAGGTTGCTTTTTGATAAATGTATTCTTTGAGAACTAAATTTTAACATCCTGTGATGTTATGCCACTCTATTAAAGTTTAAAAAATGAACCCTATCAACAAGCATAACCCAGAGGCTAGATAAACTAAGTTTTGGTTGATCACATACTATTATAGAATAATCATTGAAGTCTTCAGATTAACTTTTGCTGATAATCTGAGTATGGTCCACACCAGCACCTTTCTCCAAAAGCTTAAACACACACGCAGTATTCCTATAGAGAGGAAAATACGTGGCTTTCTCATACTTGACGCAAATATCAGGTCTCCTTTTAAAGATCATCAGAGCTGAATTCACATAACTAAATGACTGCATTAAGCTGTTTCAATGAATTCATCAGTAAATATAACAAATATATCACTAATCCCTCCCTCAATACTTGCTTGCTATATGTCTGTGACTATACTGCTGACAATGATCCTGATATTTAAGCTACAAGTTTGAAAAGGAAAGGGGGTGAGGAGAAAGCAATGGAGAAGAGGAGGAACCTGTAGTTTGCCGACTCACTCGGTGGCTGTTCCTGGGTCACTGCTCTCCTGTTTCTCTACTACGACAGTAAATTCCTTGGGGTGAGCACTATGCATTTGTAAAGGCCGCCCAAGAAAACCATCATTACTGTTTCCTTGTTATTGCTGGTGTTTGTCCAAAGACTGTGAAATGACTTATTGAATTCTTTTTTTTGCGGGGGTGAGACTGGCTCTTCCTATGCAGTTCAGGCTGGCCTTGAACTCTCTTTGTAGCCTACGCTGGCCTCAAACTCCTAGCGATCCTCCAAGCCTCAGCCTCCCAATGTTGGGATTATAGGCAGGCACCACCACGCTGGCTGTTAAATTCCTATAACCCAAATTTTCTTTTTCTAAATAGAAACTGATTTTCAAAAACCAGTATGTATGATAGACGTCTTTCTGAAATAAAACATCTTAAAGATATTTTATTTAAAGATAGCTCAGAGTTAGAGCATCCTAGAGTGACTCCTTTAGCTGTCCTTCAAATAATGTAGTCTTAATTTACATGTTCTCCAGATGAGGGCTCTTCCCAGGTGAGTGTGGCTTAGTGAAGGGTGCCTGCATTCTCACTGAGGCTGGAATCTGTCTCGGGATCCCAAGTCACCCAGGTCTCTGCATATCACAGATAAACCTTGGATTTACAATCTATACACAAGTTCATAAAGAGAGAGCTCACAAGGTCCTAAGGGGGATAGAGAAGTGTTAAATGTAGATGATAGCTCTTGGGGACTTGGAATTTTCTTTTAGGTATTTTACATTTATTGCCTTTTTTAGGAAGACTCTAAAAACCCAAGTATATTTTCATAATATGCAAGGAATTAATTTTTATGTAAACTTAAACCCTTTCATGAAAAGTATGAAATCAGCTTAAAAAGAAATTAAAAACTTAACTATTTTTTCCTGGAATGTCCCTCCTTCAAATCAATGATAGGTAGTTGGTATATTTGAAAGTCTTAATTCATCTATAGCAGGAGTCTGGAATACCAGACTTTCCCATATGAACTGGTATTAAGTTATACACAAGGAAAGGAAATCTGGATAAATTCATTCCATGTTCTGGAGTTCTCAGAAATACATTTTAGAAACTTGCTGCTTGGGTCCTGTATTAAACAGTATCACATCACATCTGGATTTTAGCATCAGACATCTAGCCGGAGGGACAGAGATTGCTGTGTGGCCAAAATTCCCTCCAGTCCTGTGGCTCTAATGCCAAATCCCCAAATCTTTGGTATTCAGAACTCTGTGCTCTCCTTTGAAAAGTAGGTAAGCATCATTTTAATACAACAGAAAATACTACTTAACGAACTCTATCATTACAAATTCTGGGCTGGAAATTGTATATAAACAGACAGAAGCATCCCTAGCCCTTTCTCTACAGTTTTTAAATTTTGATGGCTGGCAAGAGCATTTTGTGCTTTCCCTCTAAGTATTAGTCTCTTATCATCTATTCTACTTTATTCACTCAGGGACTAATTACCAACTTTTTATATGAAACAGCATTATGATAAGCTCACAGTGGGGTGCTCAGATTTTTTCCATCCTTATTGGAAACTAAACCCTTAGGTCTTCTTGAATATATTAGAGTTCAGCCCTCTTAGTCCTACACAGCATTCAGGCTCTCTCACTCTCTCTGAAGATGCAGAATTTTATCTCTGCATCCCTGGTCCCTGATGGAGTGGTGCAGCCCCAAATCTTCCCTCTCCACACACTTTTCCAGAGATGGGTCCTCTGCCGAGCAGGAGGGCTGCGGGTAGTAAGAACAGTACTTTGCTGTGAACTGGGGGATATAAGTCTTTTAAAAGACATAAAGGCACAGGCTTTTGCAAGGTAGACAGTCTATAAATTGTCACATCTTGTCTTCAGAAGATCTTTTCCTTTGACATAGAAAAGGAGAAAAGAAATGAACTTTTTGTAAGGAATTAATTTCATAAATTACTTTTTACAGGGATCAACATGAATAATGTGTGTAGGTAATTCTGCAAGAACTTTCAGAGGGTGGAGAGCAACACGATAGTTCTCATATGAACAAAGTTCTCTTAAAGAAGAGTCTGAGATATTCAGGGGTGAGAGATTGTTTTTACTGGTGATGTTTAAGATGATATTCTACCTATAGTTTTCAGTATATGAATATCAAGATTTTACTTAATCTCTACAGATTCTTAATAATAACATAGGTGTGAAATAGATAGGTGTGTGTACTTATTAACCCAAGAGCTATTTTTGCCACTTAAA